TAAAGCAATAGTTATTTATCAACGTTAACAATTCCTTCCCAGATTCTTCGTGTTAATTTGTCATTAGACGTTATAATACTATTTTGCTTGTCGGTACTCTTTGAGCAAACCAAAATATTTTAGTCTATCTCTGTTATTATTTGTTTAGTTGTTTAATTTAGGGTATAAATATTTATAGGTCTGTTTATAGATTTGTGTACTATCTAGGACTTTAAGTTTATTATCTAGGAATGTAAGGTGTTTTTATTTTATATATGTATTTTATTATTTTACATATATAAAATAGTAAATATTAGATATTCTTTTCTTTCTGTATTTTTAAATATTGATTTCCTATTTAAAATTTATAATAAAAATTTAGTTGAATTTTAATTAAATATATCAAATATCGGCAACGCTGCGAAAACCGTCACCCTTGTTTTTTTACGTCTATGCACTATATTAGTGCACTCGCACTCAATCTCGATAATATAACGCCAAGCAACCGCGTCGCTAAAGCGATATACTGCCTCGTTTCTCAACTGAAACTAGTTCTTTTTACTTAACTGTTCCAAATCCCTAACTGTTCCAAGCGCTAAACAGTGGGACTTGGAACAGTTTGAGACTTGGAACAGTTTGCGACCTGGAACAGTTTAGCGCTTGGAACAGTTAGGGACTTGGAAGTGGTTGAGACTTGGAACAGTTTGCGACCTGAAACAGTTTAGGGCTTGGAACAGTTAGGAACTTGGAACTGTTTGAAACAGTTAGGTAAAAAGAACTGGTTTGAGTTGATAATCGAGGTCGTATATCGGTTTCGCTAGTCTAGCCAAAGTCTAGCGGACGCGACCGTTCAGGTGTTATCTGTTATCGGGATACAGGGGCGTAAAAAACAAGTGTGGCTGTTGTCGTTATTTAAAATATTTAATTAAAATTCAACTAAATTCTTATTATAAATTTTACATTTATAATAATGTTTTTTAAATACTTTATTTTTTTAATGTAAACAGAAACAGAATAGGTACGCCAATATCTTTTATTATAAAAAAATGCTGGCGATATTTTTTTTTTGAAAAATACAGTGTAAGAACAGTCGGTTATTGTTTTGTATTATAGATATAGTAGATATTAAAAAAAAATAAACTCTTCCAAGGATTTACTTTTTAAGTATATAACAAAATTATAAATCTATATTTATTCATTAGTGCTTATACAGGGTGGGTCTTAAATAAGTGCACATATTTTTAGGGGTTGTATATTTCGATTCTCATGAGTTTTTTTCGGGAAAACATGTTTTTGAAAAGTTTATATTTTTCGAAAATTTGATAGTTTTTTTTTAATTTTTAGTTATAAAAACATTATATCTTGGTAATATAGCAACATAGATAGTAGCCTTGTTTATCAAGGATAATAGATTAAATTTAGAGAAAACAGAAAAATCTCCAGTAGTTCTTATTATTTAAGCAAAAAATATTCTTTTATATAAATTTAAAAAGAAAAATAGTAACCGAATCAGAATGATGCAAGTACGGTATTAATTTTCGTTTTGGAACAGTTTGGAACTGGAACAGGTTTCTTGGAACAGGTATCTTTTGCAACTGGAACAGCTTGTACTTGTTATTAAAAAATCGCTGTTCCGGCCATGACTACATTTATCCTCAATGGAACAGTCTGATACCAATCCTAGAGAATTCCGTGAGGTTCATACTCAGTACCCTGAAAAAATAATGTGTGGGCTGGAATCTTGGCGACTGTCTAGTTGGCCTGTTCTTTCTGGATGGAAATCTAAATGGAAATATGTATCTGGATCTTTTGGAAAATACCATAAATTCCAGCATTAAATAAATAATTGAAAATGAAGATCACTATGACGAAAATCACTATGCTGTACGTGTGCAGCAGTATCTTGATAAAACATTTCCCGGTCGGTGGATTGGAAGAAGGGGACCCTTTCTTGAATGGCTAGCTAGGTGAGCTAGGTCACCGGATTTGTCTCCGCTGGATTTTTTTATGGGGACATCTCAAAACAAAAGTATTCGCCACGCAACCAGAGACAGTAGAAGTATTACGTCAAAGAATTGTACAAGAGTGCGCGGTTATAACACCCGAAATATTACAACACGTCCGAGAACGCTTTGAGCAGAATCTGTATTCGTGCATGGAAGCAGGGGTTGCTCAATTCGAACATTTAATCAAGTAATTGTTTCAAAGCATGGTACTACTTTTTGTGTATTATTCCTTAAGCAAAATCTTGTTGATTTAAACTAAATTTCTTATTTTAGACCCCATTTCGATTCCTGTACAATTAATCAAATATTAAAGATCATCAATTTATCAAAAGTTTATTTTTCAGCCCGATTCCACCAAACGTGACAAAAACTCTAAAAATGAGACGGCGCTAAAAAGAGGCTTTAATAACCTTCAAAATGATGTCTAATGATGTGCTATTCGACCCCGCATTACATTTAAGATTTTAAGAGTTGAATTAATTTTAAAAATAGTCGTATCTTATATAATAAATTAAAAATATTTTCCCCTTCGACAATAAAGTTGACGTGTTTCGCCGTTTTGTCCTTTTTACACCAGAAATGCCTTTAAATTGCGTTGTTTTGTTTGAACTGGGTAGTGATGGGCAAAACTGTTATTTTTAGATAACAGTTGAAACTGTTATAGTTATTTATAAAAAACAGCTTAAAATAACAGCTTAAAAATAACAGGTTTCTTTATTTTATTGCTAAATATCTGAAAGAGTATGAGGCGGTCTCCGCCAGGCGTATTAACAAGTTGCAACAATGACGTGCTCGGTGGTAGTATTTCCAGGGTGTCAAAACATTTCTAAATATCGATTGTTATCTAAAATACCTCTCTAAAAACGGTGGTTGTTTACAAATAAGCCCTGTTTACAAATTGCGATATAAAAAAAGCCAAAATTCCGCCACTCGTCTATACATTCCGATCTACCTACGCCCTGCCCCTCGATCCGCGTAGATCCTGAATTGCGTATCAGTGTACAGGATGCATCTCACTCGACGGGCGAGAAGCTCTTAGTTATGATTTTACCATTTGCGGTCAAAAATAGCAATATAACAAAATGTGTAGTATATTCTTCATAAGTAAACCAACTACACACTAGAGTTCGAATTAATTTTACACTTAAACTAGCGTGTACCCGAGACTTCGTTCGCGTCGAATTAATAATTTGTAATGGTGATGATAAAGCAAAGCAAGCATTTCCATTAACATACAAACTGGATAAAATTTTCTCACATTTGCCAAAAATAAGCTTTAAACGTCAAGCAGTATAAGCAGAATCGTGGTTAATCAATTACTCAACTTTTTGGAACACCCTGTATGATTTTTTAAAAAAATTCTAAATATGTAAAAAACAAAATAAATTATGCGTGTCCAAGCGTTTTCCCGAAAGACTAACCGTTTTTTCAATAACAAATATTGTAATATTTGAGGGGCGTTTTCACCCTCTTGGAATTTGAGATTCGAGAAACCCCTCCTTATCGAACCTCAACCCCACAGTCAATCCGTTTGCCAAAAATCAGCTTTAAACGTCAAGCAGTTTAAGCAGAATCGTGATTACTCATATGTTATGAAACACCCTGTATATATTTTTAAAAATCTTAAAATATAATAAAAATCGTCTTTATTTCATGAAAAAAAAAACATATTACAAATAATGCAAATGCATTAAGTAAACAACAAATTTATGTAAAACAACAAAATAAAATATACGTGTTTAAGAGTTTTTTCCGAAAAACTCACCGGTTTTTAAATAAAAAATATTCTAATATTTGAAGGTGGTTTTACCCTCTTAGAATTCGAGTTTCGAAAAATCCCATCTTATCGAACCTCTACACCCTAAAGTCAATCCGTTTTCCAAAAATCAGCTTTTTATGTCAGAGGCTTTAAGCAGGATCGTGATTAATCAATGACTAGATTTTTCAAAACACCCTGTATACATTTTTAAAAAATCTTAAAATATTATTCTGAAAATTTTTCAGAATAAATAAATACCTAAATATTGAAACTTAATAAGTAAGTACTGAAACATACAGCGCCAAAATATCTCGACCTCCGCTCGTTATGCTCGTAACAGGTTGAAAAACAATGTATCTAAAACAACTGATGTGTTATTCTCCAACCTGTTTCGAACCTCCATCGACAATCGACCGATGCAGCAGCGTTACTTTCCCACTCCGATTATCTCGACCGCCGCTCTGTTATGCTCGTAACAGGTTAAAACACAACTTATCTAAAATGACTGCTTCTCCAACCCGTTGCGAGCCTCCATCGACAATCGACCGATGCAGCAGCGTTCCTTTTCCACTCCTGTTATCTCGACCGCCAGGCGTTATGCCCGCAACTGTTTCAAAAAAGCTGCTTCTTTTATATCCTATTATTTTTAAGCTGTTGCAAGCCCCACACGACCATCGACCGATGCAGCTACGTTCCCCACTCCGTTGTCCGTTGTATCTCACCGCCTGTATTGATGGTTGTCGAAATGACATGTTTTCCATCCATAATCCATACTAGTTGTTTTTTGGAATTGCTTCGAGCAGCATCGAATTTCGTGGCGGTGCAGAGCGCCGACTTCGTTTCACGAACGGTCGATCTCTGCGTATCGTTATTTTATATTTGTTATTTTTTAAAAGTAGTAACGGTTGCGTTATGTTATTTCTAAATAATTGTTATAAAATAACAGATAGTAAATAACAACCCATCACTAGAACTGGGACACCCTGTATATTATTTTTATCTGAGGAATTTCCCCACGAGAGATGGCACATGTTTTTTGAAACACCCTGGATAGCTTATAGTAGATGTTATACGGGCAGTAAAATGAAAAAATGTTTTTTTTTTTAATTTTGACTTGAAAGATTCCCATACAATTTTATCAAAGTCGAATTAATATTTCATGATATAGGTCTGAAAAAACTAAATACAAATAGATTTTGAAATCCCACATTTGAAAATTGTAGTGGCGTAAATACTAACAAATATATTTTAATAAGATTTAAGGAACTGCCAGTTAAACATATCTTAAAAGAAGTTCAAGATGCTATTCTAGGAGGAAAATCTTATGATGTTGATAATGTAAAAAAATGGACTATTAAAATTGCAAATGATGTCAATGAGAAAGTCAAAGGTAAATATTTTAATTTATTTCAACCTATGCATATCAAATATTAGTTTTCAGAATTAGAAATGAAAAGATATAAGCATATAGTACAAGTTTTACTTGGCGAAAGAAAAGGGCAGGGCATTAAGTCTGGTGTAAGGTGTCTTTGGGATTGTGAAATTGACGGTTATACGAGTGAAATATTTATGAATGTAAGCTTTTCTAAACAATATCTTTATTATAATTTGTAGAAATAGAAGAAAATTCTCTCAAAACTCATACAGCCGAAAATAAAGTTATAAATAAGTTACAAAAAATTTAAAAAAACAGTCTCGAAAAAAGGATATAAAAAATACACATTACATACAGTTTCCTAAGGCGCATTCTCACGACTCGTGTACTTGACAAACATTTGTTAATCATGCTTTTGTTATTGGAATATACTCGCCATGTCGTGAGAACGGTTTCATTGGTCACTCGTCGCGTCCCCACTGTTGGTAAACATGGCCCGAGTTAAATGATCATAATTAATTGTACACTTGCCAAGTGTACTTGGCCAGTCTTGGCTATACTTGCTGAGGTGTAGTGTTTTCGAGTTAATTGCGGATAATTTAAAACGTTAAAACAATAATAGATTATATAATATCAAATTAACAGATAGATAACGATACAACTTTATAGACAAATCTTAACGTCATTCGAGAAAAAAGAAAGCAATAATACGCTTAGTCCCAGAGATATTACAACTTGGTTATTTTCCCGTTACAAGGGAAAAACCAGAGTAGTCGACGCGTAAATGACAAAAACCAGAGATGTCCTTACGCATGGACGACAAGCATACATCTTGGAATTAGTATTACATGTAAATTTATGTATTCTAATAAAAACCTACTTAAATATTAATTTTCTTCCTACAACAAAAAAATAATAGTTTAGATTTAGGTTTTATACAACCTTTAATTGGACATCTCTGTTGTAATTTGCATTATGACATTTTTATTTCGGTATTTCAGAATAATGGCGATAATTAACAATATTAATAATTCAGAATTGGTAGTAATATATATTTTATTATTAACTATTCAACCGAAAATAACATATTTCTTTAAAAGCACTAAATTGCATTTTTCTCGGCTCCAATTAATATGGACAAAGCTGGTTTTTCCCGTGTAGTCTTCAAATGATGCTGTTTTGAACTTTATGGATTTTTACGAAAATGAGCCCTTCATTTGGACTACCAAACATAAAGAACATAGAAATTGTATTGCAGTGTACAGTAAAAGAACTTAAAAAGAAAAAGAATCACTAGCAACGACAATTTCGGGATGACCGGTATCCATGGATGCGACTATACTGTTTACTTGCCAAGGATTTAAACAATGTTTGTGCTGGCGCACTTGTTGAAATGAACGTCGTGTGAGCGCCACACTTGCCAATGTTGTTTACAAAGTGGGGACAGGTGGGGATACTTGCCAAGTACGCAAATATTGGCGTACTTGCCAAGTAGACGAGTCGTGAGAATGCGCCTTTATATTATATATTTATTCTAAACTTCCGTAGACAATATTATGTAGTCTGTCCAACGGGAGAATCGCTGACAGTGACATTTGTGTCTGTCATTTTAATTCACAGGAAAATTACACTCTCTGTCATTTTTTGGATGTCGTCTGTGAGTTTCCCCAGTCAGACAGCCTTATAGTTTTTAAAGTATAATACCTAAAACTTTATAACCTAAACTCGTCAATTATGACAGAAACAATACAGGGTGGCCCATCGAAAACGTTCCGCAAGGTATAACGGCCAGGGTATTTTTTTTTTCAAAAAATCCAAAAACACGTCAATTTTGTTTGTGAGGGGGACAACATTTGCCCCAAAAATGATTGCAAAATCTTCAACCCACTAAGCGGGGGTGTCATCCCCCAACTTTTCTTAAATGGGAAGGGGTGTCAAGTGGCACCGCAATGAAAAGAGCTTTCTATTCTCTATATTTCCCCGCCTCGTTTTTGAAAATCGGTCAAGTCGTTGAGAAAATATGAAGGATTGAAATTTGAAAAGTTTATTTAAACATTTATCAGAGTAATGATAAGGATAAATTCCTTCGACCAATTTGAGGTTTTTTCTTACTATTTCTAGATGTTTACGCATTTTTCACTTGCCACAAGGTTGAACGATCAGGTGCGGTAGTTGCTAGATAGCTGTTCTGTGACTTATGCGTTGAAGTCCTTCTCAATATCGTTAAACTGACCCATAATAGAATTTCCAAAAATACCAGCCCACACGTTCAATTTCTGAGGGTTTTGTGTGTGCACATCGTGAAAAACCCTGGGGTTGTCCTCAGCCCAGTACCGACAGTTGTACCGATTAACGACATCGTTCAAAAAGAAAGTACACTCATCCGAAAAAACACACATTAAATAGGAAATAATTATCATTCGCCACTTGTTCACTCATAGTTTCACAAAATTGCAAGCGACGATCAAAATCGTCTTCGTTGAGTTCTTGTACTAACTGAATTTTGTACGGGTGGAACTTTTTTTTTGTGGAACGGGTTTTTTTAATATCCTTTGGACACTTGTACGATTCAGGCCGGTCTCATTGGCTAATTTTCTTGTACTCAGCGTACTATCCATGGCAAGTTGGCCCAATACGAATACCTCCATAGCTTCATTTACTACAAGATTATCTCTCTCTATTAAGTCTCTTTTTATTCATAACGGAACCAGTTTCGCGAAATTTTGCTACTAACTCGCGAACAATTTTGCCATAAAGGTGTTTGTCAGGATGGCGTTCATTGAATATCTGCGCAACCCGATTGCCACATTCTTTATTTTTAAAATAAAGGTCGATTATTTCCACTTTTTCTGCAAGTGAGTACACCATAATTGTTAAAAAGTTTAACGATATTGAGAAGAACTTTCTAGCAACTATCACACCTGATCGTTCAACCTTGTGGCAAGTGAAGAAATGCGTTAGAAATAATAAGAAAAAACAGCAAATTGGTCGAAGATCATTTATTCTGGTAAATGTTTAAATAAACTTTTCAAATTTCAATCCTTAATATTTTCTCAATGACTCGACCGATTTTCAAAAACGAAGCGGGAAAGTATAGAGAATAGAAAGCCCTTTTCATTGCGGTACCACTTGACACCCCTTCCCATTTAAGAAAAGTTGGAGGATGACACCCCCGCTTAGAGGGTTGAAGATTTTGCAATCATTTTTGGGGCAAATGTTGTCCCCCTCACAAACAAAATTAACGTGTTTTTGGATTTTCTGAAAAAAAAATTACTCTGGCCGTTATGCCTAGCGGAACGTTTTCGATGGGCCACCCTGTGTTGAATGAAATGTTACACATGTGACATATCTAGATATTAAAAAAAGGCTTGATCTGGCAATAAAAACGTTATTTTTTGAGAAGTCGTATTGAACTGTCCACGAATTAATATTTTCGCCTGTTTGGTTTAAGATGGTCGATTCTTCATTACAACTATAAATCATATTATTTTTAGGATTCCATATTTTGTGTTACAACAGTTTTTGCAGTATATTTATATTAGCATAATTTGACTTCATTTGTTCTTGTGTTACTATATTTAATGTGAAAAATACACGGGTTTGCTTATAAATATTTATTGTTACAATTTAATGTAAACTAATTTAATCACTTAAAATATAATTTTAGTACTGAGTTCACAAGCTTATATTAAACATAAGAATACATTGCTATAAATTTCAAAATTTAATTAAAACTGAATTTACAGTTGTATGCACTCTATTTTAAATAAAAAGAAATACGGTGAATATTTTTGTTTATCTATATCCTCCCCCTCCTCCTCTATGATAATTCGATCGGCCTCTCTGATAGGAATTTCTTCCCCTTTGATATTGTTGATTATGCTGATTTTCTTCAACATACTGATCAGCATAGGTGGTTTTATTTGCCTAAAATATAACATTTTTATAGTTACCTTGAAATAGCAACAAACAGGATTTTTATCAATAGAAAAACTTAGAAGAAAATTGTACCAAAAAAATCCATTTAAATCACATAAAATAGAGCGATTGGCTAGAAAAAATATACCGGGTGCGTCTCAAAAGTGGCTCACCCCTATAACTTTTTTATTTTTTTCAGATAAAGCCACTAGATTTGGTATGTTAGTTGGTATATTCAATTGTTTTCGGTCACTTCCGGTTTCACCGGAAATGACTGCAACTTTTGATTTTTAAATGCCATTCTCGGTTTTTTTTTTATTTTATTCGATAGAAAATGACACTCTGAATAGAATGACATATCATATTATGTCAACTTTTGACATTTTCACATAATGGTTTATTTGAAATTGTAACATGCGGTTCATAACGACAATTTGAATTGAAATACCAAGTGCGTGGTATCAAATTATTCGTGAATTTTTTTTCCAAATATGCTAATGAGCCACCTTTGTTCCATTTGAAAAAATTGAGATATGATTAAAAATACGTTTTGGGCATCTTTTAACCAGCCAGAACAAGACACTGAAAACATTAAACGATCAAATCCATTTTTCCAAGGCTCCTTGATTAAAAATTAGTGTTTTTAACACAGCCATGGCACTCGATTAAAATTTAAAACACAATTTGTTTTTGAGCGAATATGTCAAAAGTTGACATATCATTCGATTCAGAGTGTCATTTTTTATGGAATAAAGTAAAACAATACCGATGGTGCTATTTAAAAATCAAAAGTTGTAGTCATTTCCGGTGAAACCGGAAGTGACCGAAAACAATTGAATACGTCAATCAATCCTAATTTATGTCATATACTAACATACCAAATTTCGTTTTTTCTTCAGCAACATATTCTGTAGATAAAAATAATTAAAAAAGTTCGTATAAATGTATGTCCTAAAATGCTTAGTTTCGAAAATATAGGGTGTAGAAATTTGGATGAAAATTGATGTCTGGGAGTTTTTTGACATGATACATTTGATTTTGATGTCAATATGATTTAAAGGGTGCCACCTACATATTTATTAACGGTTTGAAGAGTTAGAACGTTTCGTCCGAGATATTTTGACTCGAAATTATCAATACCTGTAATCATTGACATAAATTAAACATGTCGACTAAATAGTTATTAGACTAAAATTACAAATTTCAAATGTTTTTGTGCCAAAAGTTCAACAGAAACTGTTTTATCATCATTTTTTTCGAAGAAAAATTTATGATTTACTTAAAAAAACAAAAAGTTCCCAAATTTATCATTTCAGTCAAATAACTTTTCTACTCAATAATTTTTTTTTGAAAATAATGACATGTATTGACTATTTTCATTCTAAATATCTTGAGAGTTGCTCGTAGCGGTTTTTACCAAGAGACATTTTTTACGCCAAAAATTACGAAAATGTATATTTTCAACTCAGTAATTTTATACAGGTACAGACGAAAAGTTATTACTCTTCAAAACAGTTAAAACACATGTAGGTGGCGCTCCTACAAATAAGAGTCATTATGGCATCAAAGTCAAATTTCTCATGTCAAAAAATTCCCAGACAGCAATTTTCATCCAAATATTAAAGAAATTATTTGGAAAAAATCAAAATAAAAATTAATCTTCTACACCCTCTATCTCCGAAACTAAGCATGTCAGGACATACATTTATACGAAGTTTTTTCTGCAGAATATGCTGTCGAAGTTTCCGGAATACAGTTCGGACCACCCTGTATACAATATATTAGTAAAATTTTAACATATACCTGAAATGAATCATATGTTTTTGGTCTCTTATTTTGTTGATAATCTTGATTGTAAGAACTCTCTCTTCGATTGAAATATCCGTTATTCCCGCCTCCTCTTCCATAATTATTATAACCATCGTTCCCACCTCTGTTGTCATATGAGTGGTTATCAAAGCTGCTGTTACCTATTTCAAGAAACATAAAATAGTTAATAATAAACTTATAACTCATATGCATATCCACCTTGATCTTGATACCCTCCTCTGTTTGAGTAATTGCTATTTCCAAAATCTTGATAACCACCTGAGTTTCTACCACCTTGGAAACCTTGTTTATAATATCCACTAGGTCGACCTAATGATTGAAATTAAATTTTTTACTACATAGAATTTAAAAATAAAATAAAATTTAATTTACCGTCGTTACGAGAAACCCCCCCTCTACCACCACTAAATGATTGTCCTCCACCTCTTTGATTTCCCCCTCCTGTTGTTCTCTGTTGCTGCCAGGAGGGCATTTCCGGTGGTGGAGGCGCTTGTTCCCAACTACGACCTCCACGATCAGGAACCTCAACAAGAAATATTGAATTATTAAATATAACTTAAATTAAAATGTATTTCTAATTACCTGTCCAATTATTACTTTGTTTACATCGGTTCTTGTATTTTTTCTCACTGCTGCGCTGCTAGTTTTTTCAATAATGGCCAAGTCAGTTCTAGCAGAAATTAAATCTGATATATTTACATCAGGATCAATTTTCAAAGAGATTCGTTTGTCATGGTATATTTTTTCAAATAGTTCATCCTTTCCTTTTGTTCTCTCTGACCACTAAAGTGTAAAATTATTTATAATAATAGTTTGCATTTAATTACACATATTATGTACCTGAAATGATTGGACTGTAACATCTAATCGGGTAAGTAACATTTCTCTTCTAATTTTATATTCGTTATCCAAATCATTCTGTACTCCTTTTAATATTTCCCACTGTTTATCGCTTAAAAATCCGCTGAAAATTCCACTTCCAATTAAATCTCTTCCAGCTTTTTTAATGGCAAGTGGAATTGTGGTATCTAATTTATCAAATAACTGCGTTATAGTTATATTAGCTGGTGGTTTAGGAAAACGCAAAGTTTGCAAAATCAGTCTCATATCAGCAGCTTCGGGTGTTTCTTGCTGTAATTGAATGGATGAAAATAGTTACCAATATTAAAATTTAATATACAGGGTGGCGCCTCTCATACGCCGCGGAAGCTCCGAGAAGAACGGTAGTTTATATCGAAATTAAATTTTGGCAGAATATGTAGGTTAACTGAAAGCATTTTATAAAAATATATAGAATTATACAGCGTGTCCCCAAAAAAAGTTACACATCAAAGTTGTGTTTTTCTAATGGAACACCCTATATATTAATTGATTTTCGGATTCTAGGAAAAAATAAAGGGGAGTTTTATTAAAGAAGCATATACCTATGATATACCTAAAATGTAAGGATTTTGACCAAAGAATATACCTAGCTAGAAAAAGAATGGACTCTGCCATACTGAAAAATGGTCCTACAGAAGTGGCGCCATCTATTGAGATGGGCTTGTTTTAAATGATCGAAGCGCGGGCTTTTTAAATGAGCGTATTTATTGAATTTTGCTCTAAAATAATTAAATTTGATTATTAAATCTTCTTTTTTACACAAATTCAACAATACTAATAACAAGTATCGTTGTGATGTGTAAAAAATAAGATTTAAGAGTATAATTTATACAATTATTAAATAAAATTAAAGCCAAACATGTGTAAATATTATTTATTATTTAAAGTTTTTATTTATATGTCAAATATTTAAACATCGTTTATTATAATAAAACAAGACGAACGTAATACGCCCAAAGTTTTGTAAATGGAGTAAATATAAATAGGTACTTAAATGATGGCAGAAATAAAAGACTTACATTATATTTTTAGGGCCACATACAAAAGGAATTGTCTAATAAAAACACATATAACAAATTATAGTTTGAAAAACGTTTTGATAATCATTTTTGATAATATTATGACAATGGCGCTATGACAACGCATAGATAAATGAAACAAGTTTAGATTGGAAAGTGCCCATAAGGACAATGTAAACACTATTTGGCGCTATTCTTGCAACGGTCGCGACCCAAAACTTTTGAAAATTTCGGAGCGGTTCGGCTTTTTCCGGAATTATATCGCCAAATATTGTTTATTCAAATTTATTATTATTTTCGTTTAATTTTATAAATAAAATACAGTGTGTTGCATACAAGAAACTTTATTTTATATAAGGACGCATGCATGAAATACCTATGAAACATTGGAAACCGACGTTAAGCCACGATCCACGATGGTTTTTGCAGTTCACAGCACAGCTTTTTAAGTTTTTTACAATTATCACCGGCTGGAGTAAATAAAACTTGAATTAAACTCACAAGATAGCAATAATTTCTTTGAAAATGGACGCTATAAACACTTTTCGGAATTTCTTTAATGAGAGCGGTTTAGATTTTGAAAGATTATTTTGATTTTTGGAGATTCTGACTTTGACAAGAGAAAATTATTTCTGTTTTTGTTTGCCGTTGTTCTTAGCGACCGCTATAGCAGCGCCAGATCGCGTATAACGGTCGCGACCCAAAATAATTTCGCGACCTAAAATTTTTACGGGCTTTCCAATCTAAACTTGTTGCATTTATCTATGTGACAACGACAATATTTTTTGAGAATTTGACAATAGTATGACAATGGCCGTTGGAAACTATGGAAACTACAAAAAAAATCTGATTGAACGCCATCTGGCAATAACTAGTAGCAACTTCTTAACCTAAAAGTTAATTGTACTACCACCTAGCGCCCGAGGCTGGAACTATTTTATTTGAAATTTCCGTGGAAACGGTGGAACCGCTTTTGCTATTTCACTTTCCGGCCCCTGATTTTGACATATTTCACATTTTGTGAAAATGAAGAGCAAATTTTAAATTGCGATAACAGCTACCTAAATTTTAGAAGACCTTGGATAGCCTGATATTTAATTACAGTAACCATTGTATGTTAAACTAAATTGAAATTTGACCCGAAAAGTTATACAAGGTGAGACAAAATTAATATGGAACATTAATCACTTTTAAAAGCAAGTTACTTCTTTATTTTAAATGGATCACCCAGTATATTATTCCGGTGTTCAATTTATATACCTTCAAAATATTATTAATGTTGCCTATCCCTTAGACAAAGATTTTCCTAGATATTTTATTTTTTATGATTTTGTGTCAGGAGATCTTTATTATTTGAAAAAGTATAGGTTTGCTGTGATATACCTTTTGTTAATTTAACAAAAATTAAAGATTGTAGAGTAAAATACTCAACGGTAATAAAAAGATATACGGTTAAAACATATTTTATTTATTACAGAATTAAAATTAGATATAAACCTATAATTATGTGACAAAAATTAGCTAGATGAAATCAAATGCTCAAAATGCTTCCTTTCCTGTTAACTGCATGGAGTTCTACCTCGAAAAGCATCTGCAATAAATTCTTTCATGTTGCCGACAATAGTTGGTCGAGTTTTATAAACACTCTTTAACATATCCCCAAAAAAACCCAGACTATATAAAGTCAGGGGCATTTAAGTATTCTGTTAATTGACGAATGCACACTGCATTCACCAACTAATAAAATCATATCAATTCTCGCTGATGTAGGATAAGTTTGCATTTTCGGCAAATTTCTGAGAATTTTTTTTTAACTGACACAAAATGATAACTAGTTGGACTAATTAGACAGCTATGTTGAAGTAACGTCAGACATATCACAGCCACCTAGATTTTATCAAATAATAAAGATCTACTCAGATCAAATCATGTAAATGAAAATATCTAGGAAATTCTTTGTTTGAGGGGTGGGCAACCCTAATAGTATTTTGAAGAGACATGAATTATCTATTGAATATCGGAATAATTAAAATCGCGCGAGACCGATTTTCCGCAAGTCCTTGCAGTTGCAAGAGAATTTCCAGATCAGCTGTATTTGAAGAGCGTGGCTTTAGAAGGAAATTTGATCATGCAATAATAGAATTAAAAATAGTTTGTATACAATTTTTTTATTTTTGCAGATAAAAACGGGATTTTTTGGTATGTTAGTATATTTATGACATAAACAAGGATTGATCATAGATAAATGCAACAAGTTTAGATTGGAAAGCCCGGAAAAATTTTGGGTCGCGAAATTATTTTGGGTCGCGACCGTTATATGCGATCTGGCGCTGCTATAGCGGTCGCTAAGAACAACGGCAAACAAAAACAGAAATAATTTTCTCTTGTCAAAGTCAGACTCTTCAAAAATCATAAAGTCTTTCAAAATCTAAAGCACTTTCGTTAAAGAAATTCCGAAAAGTGTTTATAGCGTCGATTTTCAAAGTAATTATTGCTATCTTTGAGTTTAATTCAAGTTTTATTTACTCCAACCGGTGATAATTGTGAAAAAGTGGCATTAAAAACTTAAAAAGCTGTGCTGTGAACTGCAAAAACCATCGTGGATGGTGGCATAACGACGGTTTCCAATGTTTTATAGGTATTTCATACATGTCCTTATATAAAATAAAGTTTCTTGTATGCAACACACTGTATTTTATTTATAAAATTAAAAGAAAATAATAATAAATTTGAATAAACAATATTTGGCGATATAATTCCGGAAAAAGCCGAACCGCTCCGAAATTTTCAAAAGTTTTGGGTCGCGACCGTTGCAAGAATAGCGCCAAATAGTGTTTACATTGTCCTTATGGGCACTTTCCAATCTAAACTTGTTTCATTTATCTATGGGATTGATTGACGTATTCAATTAGTTTCGTTCACTTTCTGTTTCATTGGAAATTACTACAACTTTTGATTTTTAAATGGTACTAACGGTATTTTTTTTACTTTATTTGATAGAAAATGGCATTCTGAATAAAGTGACATCATATGCCAACTTTTTCTATTTTCACATAAGGAAAAAAGTATTTTAAATTTCAGCCTAGAGTGCTAGAGCCATAAATGTAACGACAGTTTGACTCGAAATACCAAGTGTGTGGTACCAAAATTATTCGTAAAAAATGTATTTTCTAAATATACTAATGAGCAACTTGTTAGTGAGCCACCTTGGTTCCATTTATCAAAATTGAGTTATGATTGAAAATACGACTTCGGCATCTTTTAACTGGCCAGGAAGACACTAAAAACATTACAAGAAATCTATTTTTCCAAAACTCATTGATTAAAAATTAGGAAGTGACCCCGCTGCCGGCGCACAGTGTTCAAAATTTGCAAAAAACCGATCGAAATTGAAAATTTTTAGTTTATTTGAGAATCGTCAAATTTATGTATATGTTTCTTTACCTCATTTTACAACTTTTAACCAAGCATTGCTTTAATGGCTTTATCATGACTGAATATCTTTATGAGCAAAAGCTAAAAAATAATATTAATTTTATACAGCATATTTTGGCATTAAAATGTTTTCTTTTTTATCCGCTGCAAGTCAAATTTTTCATGGAAATGTAATTATATCAGAAAAAAGTACATATTTTAAGGATTTAAATAACCTAAATACTATAATGAAGGTCGCTTTTCCTCTCAGGCATAATTCGCTGCCTATAACCCACCACAGTTTTTGAAGAAATGTCATTTTATTGGTCTGTTATGTTTATTGCTAGTCCTTGCTCATCAATAAATTATACATTAAATAAAAGCCTATAGTCTAAGGAATTCAGGAACATTTTGTTTTACCTGCGCAAAGGTGCGCCTCAGGCTGCAATTCGGATTCATTTGCGCTGAGTTCTAAACATGTTTACACGCGGCCGGGCGGCCAGTATTTAGTTTTTTATTATATGGTGTTCAGTGTAGTCACAAGTTTAGTTTGTGTTATTTTGCGGTGTAGTAAGTCAAGAAATATATTGTTGGTTTATTTTTGGCATTTATTCATGATGGCAATTACACGTCTGCATCTACATGAGAAAATGATGGAAATACTTGGCCAAGATTTCTCTGTGAAGAAAATTCATGTTTTGGACTTTTTAAAAGATCATTTTGAAACAAACGGAGATGAAATTGCAACTAACGCTCTCAATAACTTCATGAGGCAATCGTTTTTTCCGTAATATTTAACAAAATGGAAAGCGGCTCAGAGGAAAGACAGAAATTTCTTGTCTAGGTATGCAGATTGGCTATACAGGTTGATGTTATTTTTCCCGATGAAGTGTTTCATTGTCAACGACAACTTACGGTTCCTGATTATTCTGCATCTACAAGTGGAGGTAAATATGCAAAATAATTATTTATCTATAGGGATAAATTCTAACATTTTATATTATTATAGCAGGTCGGCCGTCAAAAACATTTGTAGAAAGTTCGGACGTTAGTAAACGTAGAAATACTGAAAAAATTCGACGGCAAAATACAGCAGCCGAGTTATCATTTGCTGCGTTCATGAAATTGCGTGAAGAGGGAAACGTCTCTGCTTCAAAATTGGTAACAGAGGCAACTATGACCACGCCCACAAGAGCAACTAAAATTCTATAATGTTCACACAACAAAAATCAGCCCTGCTAAAATTAATGAGGATTTGTTCAAAAGACTCATATTGAGCTCGGTTAGGTTATCCATTCCTGAGTTCATTTCATTTCTCCAAAAAAGTTCATAGGAAAATAGACCAAAGCATGCTTCCTTTGCTGGACCTTACAGAGGAGGAGAAACATGAACTCAAAATTGATGAGCATAATGACAATGAAGATAATGATGGGCGAGAACAATATGAGGATTGGGATGATTCGTTTTTATACTATTATAATTGATATATGACTGCTATAGATTTGCAATAAAACCTGTCAAAAATTAATGAAAAAGTCGTTTAAATTGGCGCAATAGGGTTTACAGTTTGCACGTAATCAATTTTGATCAAGTTTTCATCAATTTTGAACACTGTGCGGCGCCGGCTTCCAAAATTCGAGAGCACGGATGCCGGCTCCGGAAATAAAAATGCCAACAACTTACCCCAGAGACTAACCAACGCTAAACAAATGTAAATTAATAAAAACCAAACCAACCCCACCAAATAACTAACTTAACCAACGCAATCAACCCCACCAAATAACCAACTTAACCAACGCAACTAACACCACCAAATAATCAATATAACCTCACCAAAAAGAGTGAAACCAACGTAATCCGTATTTTGATTACTATTAAATATTTACAGCTTTTTTAAAAAAATAAAACAATTTTAAAAAAATAAAAAAGTTATGGTCCGGCGTGAGATTTGAACCACGGACCTATCGTTCCCGAAGCTGCTCTTGCAAAACTGGCTATAGCTAGGCGTTACTTTCCGCCGTTCTTTCAGAACCGGAGCCGGCAACCATTAAGGGAACCAGCGCTGGCACCGGAGTCACTTTCTAAAAATTAATGTTTTTAACATAGCCACGGCACTCTAAATTGAAATTTAAAATGCTCTCTGTTTAATTAAAAATGTCAAAAGTTGACATATAATATGTCATTCTATTCAGAATGACTATTAAAAATTAAAAGTTAAAAGTAATAATTTCCGATGAAATAGGAAGTTACTGAAACTAATTGTTTTTGTTTTAAAAACAAATCTTGATATTTTATCTGAAAAAATAAAAGTCATAGGGGCAAGCCATTTTTGTAAAACACCTGGTATACAGTGTTACAATTAAAAAAAAAATCCATTATTTTTGATACTATACAGGCTGTGATACAGATATCACGACTCCATGGAGCAGCCAATGCTGAATTATGTTATTATTAGTGATGGGATAAGGGTGGTCAAATTAAAAATAATTTATATTATCTCGATTATCAAAATAATTGTCATCATCCTATTATTGAAAAATAATCTGATTATTTTACAGGGTATCTAATTTTTGGGTGTTTAGAGAGTTTCTCGTTTATGAGTAGGGAGGGGGGGTCTTGGATTAACCGCCCGAAGCAAGAGGAGACAAGCTCACCAAAAACCTAAATCCTACTATGGCGGGACCAGGTCAAAGGAATGCTAGATTGAAGACTAGCCTCTACTGGTCTCAGCCTTGAGGCATCAGGGGGCACCACCTTGTATGATCATCCGATTATTGGAATCATCGAGTACCAATACTCAGTGGCGAATCCAGGGTTTTTCCTTGGTGAGAGAAACGCAATTTTATTATTAATCACAATTAATAAAATTAAAATAAAAATAAAGTTAATAAATTTTACCTCATTTATTATTAAAAAATATTACTATTAGTTATTATTACTATTAGTCCAACCTACAGCAATTTCAAATAAACAAATAATAGTATTTAAGACAATGTTCTAAGATAATATACTCTGTAATGGGATAATATACTCTGTTCTGTGACTTGCTTTGTGATGGGGAAGATCATTTTGTTGGCAATAAAGTATTTGTATTTGTAAGATAATTACAAAAAACCTATTTTAAAAAGTTTTAACATCCCGTAACTCTATAACTATGCATTTCCATACCCATGTGTATAGGAACTTTTTTTCATATTTTTTGATGAGGAATTAATGAGTACTTATTTAAAACTTTCGTAAGTTAATGATATTGAATTTTTTTCAAGGTTGCTATTAGACTTGGATCAAGGCAAATCATCAAGGAGTCCGAAATTGACAATATCAGGAGAATTTTTAATCGGCATTAAACTGCTTACACTGTTTCGTTAACAAGAGAAAAAAAGTCAGTGGTGTACCTACATGCTTCTTTAGAAAAATATTCCTGTGATAACCCATATGCATGTCCCTGGTGTATATGTTGACACTTTTTCAGCTTTAAAATATGTCGCATTTATAGCAACTTTTACCCTCAAAATTGCGTTCAAAACGCTAAAAATACTTTAAATTATAATAAATAGAAAAAAATATGAAGATTTTAACACCCTGTAGCTACAAAACAAGGCAGTATCAGACCTACTAGATATGAAAAATAAATTTTATTTTTATGTGAGGAATCTCGAGAGATGGCACGTGTTTTTTGAAACACCCTGTATAAGTCATAGTTTACATAGTAAAATGTCTTGATTACTTATATATCATATACAATACCGTATGATCGAATAAAAACGGCGTCCAGTTGGCTTGGAAATGACGATCAATGACATTTCCCGTATAAATTTACATATAAAATGACAGCGATCTTCATTTCATAGCCATCGCTGACGCCGTTTTTATTCGATCATACGGTATTTATTGTTTAGCATTGACTCTTCATTCATTTTACTTACTAGTTTTAATTCAATCTTCTTTTCTGGTTTCTTATCTTGTAATATTCTTGCACTCATGAGTTCAGTAATTAAATAATCCAAGAGCAGTAATCGATCAGCTATATTTTGTAGTCTCTCCGAGACTAGACCATGTGTAAGTATTTGATAAGGACAATCTATAAAATATGGAGATGCAAATATTTTCAATTACTCGATCATTTAATTACTTAGTTCTTTTAGAAAAGATGTAATTTCCATAACAAATGCTACTGAATCCTCCGGAGATGAAATTGGATTAACTTCTTCATCCACACTTTCAAGTGTTCTAATTTCACTGGTCAGAAAACTGACTAACTGTGTATATTCTTCATGCTTAGGGCCAACTTCGACAGCGGTCTGCAGCTGGGAATACTTTGATAATGGGCCAGTATATCTATAAAGTCCAGATTTTCGGCAAATAAAATCTTAAAATTATGAAAATAATAACGTACCCAATATCTTCCAGCCCTTTAATAATTTTGTCTTCTAGTTTAGACATGATTTATTAGTAAATTAGTATACTAATTTTATAAAGACTCCCTTTCCAGCAGTTTATTGTATATTTACCGGACCGGCAGCAATCATACCGAATCCCGAATCAAAACATCAAACGTCAAGTCAACCGTCAACGTCATAGATGTCAACTGTCAACGGCAACAAGCGGCGGAAAGTAACCACAGCTAGTTATTTATTTTATGAACCACAGCACAAAAAGAAAAATGTAGAGATGTGTAAAAATGTTGTTTTGTCATAATATCGATACTATTACTGACTATTAAGGTCGATTTATAAACTAGACGTTGCCGTTAACGGACTAACCAGAGAAGAACAAGCGTTGCAGTTCTTGCAGTCCATAGGAGATGAATTACCGAAAATCGCTTCTAAGAGACCACCTCGTACGAACAATTCCCTGTACAAACTTTCACCCCTAAATTTCACCTTCTCAAATTAATTTCCAAAAAACTTTCCTGAGAACTCACTTTAACTCAAGGGACCACCTCTATGCAAAATTATTGCAAAGATGTCCTGGCAAAATTATTGCCAGAACGAATTTTACATAAAACTTGTACCTACAAATTGTCACCCCTAGTTTTACCCCCTTAAGGAATTCATTCCGAAAATCGTTCTAACTATTAGTTACGCTACATAAAAGGAATCTCTGTGCAAATTTTCATACACCTAGGACAGATTTTTTTCTAAACCTCCAGCCCCCATTTCACCCCCTTAAAGGACGAATTTCGAATTCGAGTAATTCCCCTAGGAGATGCAAGACCTTGTCGTTGATGGGGAAGCTCCTGGTCAGGTGCTGAGGGGAATCACCTGTAGCACTTTGGCTTGGTCTAAGAAGCATCTCACTCATCGTCTTGTCTCTGGCTGTAGTGTCGTGGCCAGGGAATTGCACCAAGACATATAACCAGGCACCTTCTACTGTCTGTGGTCAAGTCTCGCGGGTAGAGGATATGGGGGGTCTTGGCTTAACCGCCCGGACCAAGAAGAGACAACCCATAGAGACAACCTCACCAAAAAAGCTAAATCCTACGATGGTGGGACCAGGTCAAAGGGATGCGTGGCTACACAGAGACTAGCCTCTACTGGTCTCAACCTTGGGGCACCAGGGGGCATCCCATTATTTACCTCTTACTTCTACATGCGTGGCTCTGTAGAAGTGGACCGACTAACCCTAGCTACTCGTGGGAACACTATGAGATCAAACAATCATAAAAAACACCACCGGTGAAGCTGTGGGGAAACCCCTTAGTAACACTGTAGAATGTAGAATGAGTGGGAGAGGGATTAATTACTGCGACCTTACAGATCTATTGTGTCCCCCTTTCTTGAGTTATAACTCATCATACAGTCCCAGGGCTTTGACAAAAGCCAGTATCTTGGACGGTTTTATAGAGGGTAGTTCTCCATCCCCAATATCAGTCGTACCAAAGTTCATGGTACGAATGGTTGTCGTCTCGGCGCACTAAATGATGAGGTGTACTGGTGTTTTCCCACTTTCCCCACAGAATCTGCATTCGCCATTTCTTCTTAATTTCAATCTACTGAGGTGTTCATTGAGGAGACAGTGTCCTGTTAAAAACCCCGTGACAATCCGAAGATTGTTCTTACTTAAACCCAGGAAGATCTGTGATTTTTCTTGATCGTAAGCCCTCGGAAACTTCTTCGAGAGTCTTAGACCGTTGCAAAATTCCCATTCCAGGTTGCGAATGGAGTCTTCCAAGTTCTTGAGGTCCGCCTTGAGTTGGTTACCACTTGGAAAGCAAAACGGTTCTGGTCCAGTTAGTGGAGTGTTTGCTCCTTTTCTAGCTAGATCATTTGCTTTTTCATTGCCTTCTATCCCTAGGTGAGCAGGCACCCAGAGTAGGAGGACTTTGTTTTCTCTGCCTAATTTATTCAGCTTTTCTATGCATTCTTTGACAAATTTCGAATTGATTGATACTGAGTTGATCGCTTTTAACGCTGCTTTACTATCAGATAAGATGGCTATTTCATGTTTTCGATAGTTCCTATCTAAGATAAGTTGTACGCATCTTCGATAGCGTAGATTTCTGCCTGTAGGATGCTAGGATAGGTGCCCATTGGTTCGGAGTATTTAGTTCTCCGTCATAGATGTCAACTGTCAACGGCAACAAGCGGCGGAAAGTAACCACAGCTAGTTATTTATTTTATGAACCACAGCACAAAAAGAAAAATGTAGAGATGTGTAAAAATGTTGTTTTGTCATAATATCGATACTATTACTGACTATTAAGGTCGATTTATAAACTAGACGTTGCCGTTAACGGACTAACCAGAGAAGAACAAGCGTTGCAGTTCTTGCAGTCCATAGGAGATGAATTACCGAAAATCGCTTCTAAGAGACCACCTCACGAACAATTCCCTGTACAAACTTTCACCCTAAATTTCACCTTCTCAAATTAATTTCCAAAAACTTTCCTGAGAACTCACTTTAACTCAAGGGACCACCTCTATGCAAAATTATTGCAAAGATGTCCTGGCAAAATTATTGCCAGAACGAATTTTACATAAAACTTGTACCTACAAATTGTCACCCCTAGTTTTACCCCCTTAAGGAATTCATTCCGAAAATCGTTCTAACTATTAGTTACGCTACATAAAAGGAATCTCTGTGCAAATTTTCATACACCTAGGACAGATTTTTTTCTAAACCTCCAGCCCCCACCCCTTTAAAGGACGAATTTCGAATTCGAGTAATTCCCCTAGGAGATGCAAGACCTTGTCGTTGATGGGGAAGCTCCTGGTCAGGTGCTGAGGGGAATCACCTGTAGCACTTTGGCTTGGTCTAAGAAGCATCTCACTCATCGTCTTGTCTCTGGCTGTAGTGTCGTGGCCAGGAATTGCACCAAGACATATAACCAGGCACCTTCTACTGTCTGTGGTCAAGTCTCGCGGGTAGAGGATATGGGGGTCTTGGCTTAACCGCCCGGACCAAGAAGAGACAACCCATAGAGACAACCTCACCAAAAAGCTAAATCCTACGATGGTGGGACCAGGTCAAAGGGATGCGTGGCTACACAGAGACTAGCCTCTACTGGTCTCAACCTTGGGGCACCAGGGGCATCCCATTATTTACCTCTTACTTCTACATGCGTGGCTCTGTAGAAGTGGACCGACTAACCCTAGCTACTCGTGGGAACACTATGAGATCAAACAATCATAAAAAACACCACCGGTGAAGCTGTGGGGAAACCCCTTAGTAACACTGTAGAATGTAGAATGAGTGGGAGAGGGATTAATTACTGCGACCTTACAGATCTATTGTGTCCCCTTTCTTGAGTTATAACTCATCATACAGTCCCAGGGCTTTGACAAAAGCCAGTATCTTGGACGGTTTTATAGAGGGTAGTTCTCCATCCCCAATATCAGTCGTACCAAAGTTCATGGTACGAATGGTTGTCGTCTCGGCGCACTAAATGATGAGGTGTACTGGTGTTTTCCCACTTTCCCCACAGAATCTGCATTCGCCATTTCTTCTTAATTTCAATCTACTGAGGTGTTCATTGAGGAGACAGTGTCCTGTTAAAACCCCGTGACAATCCGAAGATTGTTCTTACTTAAACCCAGGAAGATCTGTGATTTTTCTTGATCGTAAGCCCTCGGAAACTTCTTCGAGAGTCTTAGACCGTTGCAAAATTCCCATTCCAGGTTGCGAATGGAGTCTTCCAAGTTCTTGAGGTCCGCCTTGAGTTGGTTACCACTTGGAAAGCAAAACGGTTCTGGTCCAGTTAGTGGAGTGTTTGCTCCTTTTCTAGCTAGATCATTTGCTTTTTCATTGCCTTCTATCCCTAGGTGAGCAGGCACCCAGAGTAGGAGGACTTTGTTTTCTCTGCCTAATTTATTCAGCTTTTCTATGCATTCTTTGACAAATTTCGAATTGATTGATACTGAGTTGATCGCTTTTAACGCTGCTTTACTATCAGATAAGATGGCTATTTCATGTTTTCGATAGTTCCTATCTAAGATAAGTTGTACGCATCTTCGATAGCGTAGATTTCTGCCTGTAGGATGCTAGGATAGGTGCCCATTGGTTCGGAGTATTTAGTTCTCGGCTCAAATACTCCGATCCCTGTTCTCGCATTGGTTTTGGAAGCATCAGTATACCAAGTTATGGTATGGTCTTTTAACTCCTGGGCAGACGTTTCTCTCTTCCAATCATTTTTATTGCTCAATACTATATTGAGATGTTTCTCAAAGTTGTACGTTCTTGGCATATCGTCCACTGGGAGTTGCAGGAGTGGTATTTCCTTTCTGAGGAAGCCCCTGATCTGACAATTCTCCCAGTACTGATTCCGTTAGTAACCATTCTAATCATTGTCGCATTGGCATAGCTACCAATGACAATGTGCAATGGTGTTAGATCTAGAATGACGTCCCTTGCTGCTGTTGGACAGGTTCTCATGGCTCCTGTGATGCAAACGCATGCTGGTCTCTGGACTTTGCACAGATTTAGCCTTACCGTCCGTTGCTCTAGTTTTGTGTACCAGGCAAATGCTCCATAAGTAATCATGGGCCTTACTATCATGGTATACATCCAGCCCAAAATGTTAGGGGAGCAGCCCCATCTATTTCCGACCAGTCTTCTGCATATCATGAGAGCCTTTGTGGCTATGCTGGTAGTGTTCTTAATATGCCTGTTCCACAGGAATTTACTGTCCAGGGTTATTCCCAGATATTTAACTTCCTGTGATGGCAGTATTTCCTTTCCATCTAGTTGGATTCTTTTCGAGTTTTTCAGACTTCGCTTTCTGGTGAATGGCACTATCGCGGTTTTGTCTGAGTTGATACTCAGCCCGATAGTCCTGCACCATCTCTCAGCGATGCGGAGTCCTCTTTGGATAATATCACACAGGGTGCCTTTTCATGTTTCCCCCGAGCGATCATGACTATGTCATCTGCATACCCAATGCAGTGTATTCCCGCTAGAGTTAGTTCGTCTAGTAGTTCATCCACTACCAAGCTCCACAGCAAAGGGGAGGTTACTCCACCTTGTGGAGTTCCTTGCGTTGGTTTAACAGGTACAATTTTCGTGCCCATCTGAGCCTCTGCTGTTCGTGTTGGCAGCATTTCCCAAAACCAGCGAATAATAGTTCTGTGCACCCCCCTTGTGTCTAGAGATCGCCTGACCACCTTATGTGGTATATTGTCAAACGCCCCCGCAATATCCAAGAAGGCACAAATTGCTGTTTCTTTGCTATCCAGACTTGTCTGTATTAGCTCCGTTAATTGGTACAGAGAAGTTTCTGTGGATCTGCCCCTATATGCATGCTGACTATCATGCAGTGGTTTAAGCTTTAGATGATTTTCTCCAATATGGTTGTCAACTACTTTCTCCAGCGTTTTTAGTATGAACGATGTGAGACTAATAGGCCTAAAAGACTTGGGATTTGTCCAGTCAGTTTTGCCTATTTTGGGTATGAAGATTACTTTTGCTCTTCTCCATGTGGTTGGTATATATCCCATCGCTAGACTGCTTCTTGTAATGCTTAGTAGATGGTGAGTAGCTATTTGCTGACCTTCCTTTAGAAGGGCAGGAAAGATCCCATCCACTCCTGCTGCTTTATAGGACTGAAAGGTGTCGATCGCCCATTTCAGTTTTTGTTCTGTTATTACTAGCTTGGCCACTTCTCAATCTTCCCTGCAAGGATTGTGGGGTTCAGTGGGAGCTACATGAGTATCAATAGGTATGCTACCTGGAAAGTGTGTATAAAGTAGGAGATTAGCTCTCTCTTCCTCTCCTTCCGTGTAGCTTCCGTCAGATTTCTTAAGTGCCATGTTGGAGATAGATCCACTCTTGGCCATAGCTTTGCAAAATAAAATTACACTAAATCACCACAATACACCAAAACACTTACTTTTACACTGGACGCGCGTTTCGCTAACCATGTTAGCATCATCAGCAGATGATTATAAACTATAGCTTTGTGTAGTCTAGCTGCATCAGAAGTAGAAGTGATGTTTTCGCAAAAAGTTCTAAAGTCAGACCGCTTTGCCCTTCTTATCTCCTTATTATACTCAGTTAATTTCTCGCTGTAGAGCTGCCATTCGCCACTGGATTTAGCTCTATTAAAGAGTCGTCGGACCTCCGATCTAAGATTGGCCAACTTCTTGTTCCACCAGGGCTTGTTGTTACTTTTTTGTATGCCTTTACTTGTGGGGCAACTAGATTCATATGCATCCAATATTGCACCGCTGACTTCCCTTGAGTACCATTCTAGATGCAGATGGTTTCTGGCCCTACTTGCATCTATACGGTTTAGGTTGTCTACGAGATTGGTGTTATATACGTCCCAGTCTGTTTTTCTTGGATTCTTTCGAGTTTCTGTTTGGAGTGTGATTCCTCCTAATTTGAACTCGATGATTTTGTGATCTGATAGGGAGGGTTCCGTTGAGACCCTCCAGTGTTTCACGTAACTGATTACACTAGCACTCCCGATTGTTAAATCTAATTCTTCCGCCCGCGTTTTTGTCACGAACGTGGGGGTGTTCCCTGCATTGAGAACTTCAAGATTGTATGCTAAGAGGAATTCAAGTAACACTCACCTCTAGTGTTAGTGTTAGTGCTTCCCCAACTAGCACACATATTTTATAATTTTCAACTTTCGATACTATTCTGTTTTATAATTACTTTATTACTTCTCTTCAAAAACTATTTTGTTGTATTAAAATTGCAAGTAAAATATTTTAGTTTATAAAATGATTTTGCTTTATAAGTTAGTCGTAAGAACGTTCTTAAAGCAAAAATACGGAACAGTCTTACGACAAATTTTAATTCTGTTTTATGAACGTTTATACAATTTATTTTATACGACATTTTACCTTACCGAGCAAATTTGTTTTATAATAAATTTGTACCGCAGTTACTCGACACTAGGTCATTCGTTTGCGAACATATAAAATTGTTTTATTAAAGTCATGCGAGATATTTATAAAATTATTTTATAAAAGCTTTCTTTTTGATATTATTGCCGATAACAACATATTTTACTCAGACAATACCTTTAAAAAATGGTTATATAATTAATACAAACACTGCCATAATAAAAGCCTAATGGAATAATTTTAAAACAAAAAAATAATTCTGATGATACAAAAGGATTTGATAATACATTTATAAAACATATAGACATTTTTGCACGCCAGTACTTTCTACTATATCTAGTGTGCATAATTTAAAATTATTTTGAAATGTACAGGGTGTGTCAGAAGTAAGATCCATACCATAGTTATATTTTTCCTTATGGAACACCCGGTATTTTATTGCATTTTTGGATTCTTGTACATAAAATAGGGCATTTATTATAACGGTTTAATATGTTTAAATGCTTTGGTTTTTGAGATATATAAAAATATTTAAAAATGCATGCTATAATAAAAGAGTTTGTGAACACCCTGTACACTACTTTTCAGAATTAATTCTTGTGCTGACTTTCAAGCCAAAGAAATAGACTTTACTAAAAAAATTGATTGCTTCCTTAAATGTATACAGGGGTATCAAAAATTGCTGGTCTATTTTAAATATTTATTTTACATAAAAACTTCGTTATTTCAAATGCAACACTATGTATTTTTTTTAAATAAGTCGAAGCTGATTTAAATGCTGTTTCAAACTGTATTAGGGTTTACTATACCTATCTAACTCAGATTTTGAATAAAGAGTAATTATTAAATAGAGTGGCAACGTGGCATTGTTTGGGAAATATCGTAAATTATTCTTGATCTGCAATTTTCCCGTATATCGCGAGTTGTAGTGAAAAATAATTTGAACTTTTTATTTGTATAGTGAAATTACATGTTTACAATTCGATGCTGAGGTAAAAAATCTAGAATTAAATATAAATAGTAGCAAAAACGTATAAAGAAATTTCAGGAATCTAAATCTAACTGATAAGAGAATTGAGGTATTTAGCGGTTTCTCGTTAAAATTGTTTGTGCTGTTGCCAGCTTGTGCTGAGAACAGGATATTTGGGGATTTATAAGAGCAAGGGACTTCCGATCCGTTGAGGAGAGTCTGTTCTTTTCGCAATCCCTATAATTAAAAGGAAAATAATATGGAGCAGAAACAAAAACAATCCGATATGAACGAAATAAAAGAAATGTTCGATTTTATTAGAGAAAATATGCAAGTAATGGATGGTAAACTATCCGATGTTATAAAGGAGCTGAGAGATACTAAGCTAGAAAATGCGGCGATGAAGACAGAAATTAAAGCGCAAGGAATAAAGATTGCCAATTTGGAAAGGGAGATTAGAAAGAAAAATCTGATTTTTAAAGGTATTATGGAAGATGAAAAAGAGGACTTCGAACTAACCAAACACAAGACAATTAAAATTTGTGAATCCTTGGGAATGCCTATGAAACCAGAATTTGATGTAGACCAGGTAAGAAGAATAGGCAAACAAATCCCAGGTAAACCGAGACCAATATTACTACAACTTACAACTACAAATAAGAAATTCGAAATACTAGGAAAAACTAAAGGATTAAGAGGATCTAACATATGGATTGATGATGATTACCCAAAGGAAATACAAGAAGAAAGAAAAATTCTGGTCTCCGAAATGAAAGAAGCATGGAAAAAGGGCGAAAAAGCACAACTTAGATACATCAAACTAATTATAAACGATAAGGTATATGATGCAAGCAACATAATAAATAGGGAGTCAACTAGCCAATATAATAACGCCGACAAGAAGAGAAAACCCGATATGAGGTCACCGGAAAATGATAAATTTGGAGAACAACTGAGAAAGATTACACGAACTTCAAAAAACTAGAACTAACCAATGGATTACACGGAGCAGGATTTTCGGACATGGAACTTGGCATTAAACGGACATTGAAACGAAACTTAAATGGAAAAGGGGTAACATTTGGTACGTGGAACATTCGGTCGATACATGACAAAGAGGGCGAGCTAATTAAAGAATTTGAAAACATTGACCTAGACATACTAGCTATAACTGAAACTAAAAAGAAAGGAAAACAAACAGTTGAATTACAAAATGGACATATTATACTTTGATTTTGTCGTAATCCTTGGTCGTAATATACTACAACTTTATCCTGTCAAAATCTGAAATTATTAAAAATAATAAAAAACATAAAAGAAGCGGTGGGTTTTACAGAAGGGCAAAAAAGTGCTACCAAAATATCCTAGCTACCGAAGTTCGTGAAACAGTTGATCTCTCTGTAAAGGAAGAAGACTCAAGTGAACAAAACGTTTTCTCTTCAATTGCTGATGAACCAAGTAGTTCCACTGAAAACGATGCTTTTATTAACGAGGTTTAGCAGAGAAATCTTGAAGAAGAAATAAATAACTGGGAAATAGAGCTAGATGAATTGGTTGAGGATGAGGAATATTCTGATGATATAGTCAATGCAGAAAAGAACACAAAGCTTGTAAACAATATTAGAACGTGGGATGTGTCTTTTAATATACTACATGTGGCGCTAAGGGCTTTATTTAAAAATATAATATAAATGATCGCTTCCCCAAGACCCTAGAACTTTTAAGCTTCAAATAGCTTTCCGTTAAAATATCCTAAATAGAATAATAACGATGTTAGGTTTTTTAAACAGATATGTTGCACTAAACACAAATTAGTTCTGTTAAAAACCTATTGAGAGATATCAGAGCCGGAGTTAGGTAAATTTATTTTACCCTTGACCACTATGTATATGTAAAATAGACAAAAACACAGGATATTAAACGCAGTAAATTACGTACATACACGGTGTCCCATATAAGAATGCACAGTGTGCATTGCACACTACAGGGATCTCATAAATCAGAAGATTTACAAAGATGATTAAAATAGAGAAAAGTTGCGCCTTGCTGACTCCTGCAATATGATGTTTTAAACTTTTTAAAATTCCGAAACACAGAATTTTCCCGAATTCAATCTTATTTTTTTCTCATTTTATTTGAAAAAATATGCGACAATGCAAATTTCACATTCCCATTGCTACTTTTCCTGCTCTACAAGTTGATGTTATTAGATTTTCAATCTGACGTTTTGTTTTTTTTTCTTAGCAACCATCAAGATTTGTTTCTTAGCAACCATTCAAGATAGACCTATCACATAGATAAATGAAACAAGTTTAGATTGGAAAGTGACCATAAGGACAATGTAAACACTATTTGGCGCTGTTCTTGCAACGGTCGCGACCCAAAACTTTTGAAAATTTCATGGCCGCCTAGACAAGGACAGCATTGTTTTTGTCTAACTATTGTCTAACTTCACAGTTTAGAATTGACAGATTTCAGTTTCAGAGACAACTTCAGATTTGTTCTAGAACAAATTCGAAAATTGTGTCGAAAATATTCGACGCCATTTTAATTCATTCCGTTTAGTTTCGTTTTGGAAGTTCAATTTAATATTTCGGCTGAAATTTATAATTATAAAGGTAATAAAGTATATAAAATATATATTACATGAAGAATCCTGGAGAAAATGACGTTTCTGCCGTAGTAGGTATGTCCCATGTATATGAAAAATAGGTAGTAAATAAACACTGTTTTTACATTTTTTAGATGCAAGAAAATGGTGTTATAATCTCTTTGATCGGCGATTTTTTTGAAAATGGAAACAATTTACAGCAAGGTAAGATCATTTTTAACTATAGCCAACATCATTTATCTCCAATATGTGCGATTTATTGTCAATAATGCAATAAATCGGACTGATAATCTGATTATGTTATCCGACTAAAAGTCTCTTTTTGCTTCTTTTTGATTTATAAGCCAGGTCTCTTTGGGAATAATGGACGCTTTTTTAAACAGTATATTTATATTTTATACCTATTGATATTTTTAGATTGTTAATTTTAGTATAAAAAAATTTGTTTTTCTGTTTTCAGGTTTTTGTATAAGGCTCCCGTTTTCATGTCCCTGTGTCCGTTTTCTGTCCTTGAAGTCTGCGAATACGTGTGTTTATTTACAAATTACTGTAAGTCATGCTTATACCTTAACTAATTTACGTTAAAAGTACATATAATTAACTAATTGGTATTGAAACAATACAATCCTCTATATTTTTATGTTTATTTAGTCACGTTGTTCCATACTTCAAATAAATATATGTGAATAAATTATTTTTTGGTTTTATTTATGAAAAGAAAAAATACAAAATACATTTGAACTGAAAGAGGGCCCGCCATTAAATAACCGGAAACGGAAGTGAAAATTAAGCCATCATGTCCTTATCATGTCAACCTGTCAATTGGAAAAATAGTTCTCCAGACGACAACGAAGGCTTTCGGTGGCGTATCGTGTTTCCACGATTTAACACAGAGTTGACACTCTCTCTAGTTAATTATTTTATGATCACATAGATAAATGAAACAAGTTTAGATTGGAAAGTGACCATAAGGACAATGTAAACACTATTTGGCGCTGTTCTTGCAACGGTCGCGACCCAAAACTTTTGAAAATTTCGGAGCGGTTCGGCTTTTTCCGGAATTATATCGCCAAATATTGTTTATTCAAATTTATTATTATTTTCGTTTAATTTTATAAATAAACTACAGGGTTGTAACGCGCCAAAATTTCACTAAACTATTTTATTTCTTTTCTTTAATAATTTAACGCTAATTGACATTATTATTAGTCGTACTTACATGTTAACAAAAGTAATTATTCCATCCTTATTTTTAACTAAACATATTTCACACTTAATAACATTTTTTTTTGCAGCACAAAACTAGTTTGATTTAATACAATTTAATATTTATTTTAGCCGAAATAGATAAAATAATTCTTTCCGCCGTTAATTCTGTTTATATACTAAATACGTAGGTTAGAAATTTTTGAATTGAACTGTCAAATATTTATTTATATTTTTATTAACATTAACTATTAGGCAACCCAAAATATACTTTAATAAATTGATTATATATTTTTGTATTTTATTTAATCAACAGTAATTATTGAGCCTATTGTCACTTAGTTAAACTCATTAAATTTATGTTGCTCTATTTTAATTTTTAGGTAGAATTTTCTAAGCATAATTGTCTTAAAAATATCGTATCGATCCGGCAAGTGAGTCATGCGCAATATCTCTAGATTGTTGTTATTTATTAATTTTTGAATGTTTTGATAAGCAAATTTCTATATAACTTTCATTAATCTCGTTAACTTTATTTATTCTATTAATTATATAAATTATTGATATTAACTTTATTTTCCTTTAATATATAACTTTTTCTTCATGTCTTTATTCAGCTCATGGTTGGCAATCCATATTTTATCAAGGGCTCGTGTTTTTATCTGGCTATTTCTTTGTTGCAAAAAAGGTTTTCGTTTTTCTTGGAACTACCTTGGTTTGGTCACTTTATGTTCAGCTAGTGTGAGGTACAGAGGCCTCTCGGTCATTTTTGTCAAGTTTTTGATTTTTACCCTTGTGGGGATTTTCGAGTGTGCCTCAAAAATTACTGCAGCATCCTATCTTACCTTTTGTTTTTTTGGACGGTGCTACGGTTTACCGGTGACGGGATTTTCACCTCAAAAAGCTGACGTGGGTCAACCAAGCAGCCGCCTTTTATTGAGCACCCCATTCCATCCAGGGAAGAATTAATATTAATCACCTGAGATTCGTAGAAACCCTGAGTTAGCAGGGTTTTTTTGTCGGAGCCGAAGAGTTTTTGTCTGGACCGAAGAAGTTTTTGTCTGGGCCGAAGAAGTTTTTCTTCTGTGTTGAAGACTTCTCTCTGAGCCAGTTTTTTGTTGGAGCAGTTTTTTTTCGCTGTATCCATTTTACTTTTCTGGAGGAGTTGACAGTCGACGGTTGACAGTTGACAGCCGACGGTGCCTGCCCAAGATTGATTTGATTTAGAAGATTTTCAACTATTTGGTATCGTACAATTCAATTTTTATTTTTTTCCCTATCTTACGATTTGAATTTCATTGGTGCGTACGAATACTGAACGTAGATAATTTTTTTTTTAACATTATAATTTAATTAGAATAAATTTTCACATACTTAATTCTGTTGATAAAATAATATTTCATTTTTTTTTCCTTTAATTTTTTTTTGTAAATTTAATACAGCTGACACAGTTTCTTTTTGTCTCTATTTAAAATTTAAATCTATTCATTTTTTTTATCGATATCTAAATTTCTTGAACTGATGAATTCATAATTATTAGTTGATTATTTTGATTTATTTATTTAATAATTATATTATTAATTATTATTATTAGTGAATTGGTTTAGTATTATTTATTTGATTTATTAATTTGTTGATTAATTTGATATCTTAGCTGAATTTAGTTGCGCTGATATATACATATATATTTTATTTTGTAAATCTTACGTGATCACGAAAGGTACCTAGGTATTTACGTAATTTTGTTACTTGCGTATTGTGAGATATATTTTTCTTGGTGCACAATTTTTTTTATTGATTTATTTAATTTACTATTTGCTATTTGGTATTTTCTATTTACTGTTTCCTATATTTTCCTTTTATATTTCAATAGAGGGTACTGAAACTAATCAGTTTGCATTATTTTTTATATTCCTTTGGCCCTATAAGTCCACATAATTCTCCAAGATCTTGACTTTTTTGTTTATTTATTTACTTACTTTTTTATTTATGTATTTGTGGAACTTGTAAGGCCCTAAATACACCTTTTGGGGGATTTCTGACTTTTTTTCCGTCTAAAGTCAGTGGCGCTCTTAACCCGCCCCTACTCTCCGAATTTTCTGAGCTAGAGGCATAAATTTGTTCGCGACTAGACCCCTGCAAATTCCATAAATATTTATTTTTCTTAA